TTTTTTTTTTTTTTTACATAGTCAAATTGAGCAATTAGGAATTTTTTATTTTTTGTAGTTACGCTGTTTAATCAGGGTGTTATCCTGGCAAAAAAGTGTGGGACTGGGAACTCACCCCCCCCCCACCCCCAAGCTGTAGTTTTTTTCTCAGCAAATACAGTGCTACATTTATTATAAAGTTCAAACTTACCCATCTATAAATTTAAGGAATTACACAACATTTGTAACAAAATAAGTTGTTTTTTTTTGTTGCAATAATAATGAAATAAGGACCCCGCTGGGTGATGATGACCTCATTTGCCTGCTGAAAACGTTGTACAATCTCAAAGGACTGCTAACGTGAACAGCATTTCTGCTGTGGAAAGGGTACAGGAGCACAGATCAAGACATTTATAGACACATTAAGTTAAAGGAGACTAAAGGTCAAGACATTGATAAAACAAATAAAGTTAAAGGAGACTTAAGAGGAAGACAATTATAAGACAAATTAAGTTAAAGGCTACTGAAGATCAAGACAATTATAAGACAAATTAAGTTAAAGGCTACTGAAGATCAAGACATCTATAAGACAAAACTACGTTAAAAGAGACTAATTAAAAGATCAAGACAATCATAAGAAAAAAAGTTCTCATCATTTGAAATATCATTTCCTTTTTTAATTAGTTTCTGGGTTCTTATACAATGCACAAATATAATAATTAATATAAATAATACGCATCCCCCATTGTATACAGTTATGATGGTGAGAAAAATTTCAAAGTCTTAATCTTAATGTAATCTCAAACAAATAGTATTTATAAATGCTGAATAATGCTACATAATGACAATCATGATTAGTTCCAGCAACAAATACATTTAATAAGGTGTGACCAAAAATTTGTATCACTTTTCTGGGACTGAAAAAAAGCAAAACAAAACAAAAGTAAATAAATAAATAACATTTTAAGTTTTGCTTTGTGTAGTTTACAATGCTAAAAATTGGCAATACTGATTAATTCCTACTATATTTATTTCATTTAGTTTTTCAATACATCAAGACCATGCATATTACCTATAATTTAAAATTCACCCCCATGATACAAGTTCCAATAAATGTATTTAAAATAAAAAAGTTTTTGTTGTAAAAATAGTGTCAAAATACCACAGATTTAAGAAACAAAATTGCAGATGGATTATTTATAAGCTTTGCATTTAGATGTCACATGTAAGAAATGTTGTAGTTTGTATAGATCACCAATGGATGAAATTAAACACAATATTTGTTATATTCTTTTCTATAGTCTTAGATTTTTAAAAAAATTTATATTTATTTCGTTGAGCTTACAGACAGATATGTCCAAAAAAATACTTCTAATAATTTTCAAGAAATACACAACTATCTCCAAAGGATAATTTATAATAAATAATGGTGTTCATGATATCTAAAAAAAAAATTACCAATGCACGATTCTTAAATTTTCATTTGTGTATTAGCTAATCCTACTTGTTTTACATGATAAAATTAAAAATAGAGCAGTTTTATTTTAAACATATTCTAAGAAAAGGCCAAACTTAAAGGAAATCACCATTTTCAGACAAAATATTATCTTCCTTTCTTAATCAACGTTAAAACTGTTGTTGGCCTGACCTACACGTCACACCTCAATACCACAAAAGTTGGCCTGACCCACACGTCACATATCCATTTCATACAGGGATTGCCTGGCCAACATGCCAAAACCTCAAAAGCTCAGTCTGATATAACTTAATATAAGTTGGGTTGAACCTTGCCATTCATATAGACCTCTCATACCAGCCTCAAATCTCATACAAGTTTTCCATGTCTACTGTGTGCACACAACACCCCCTCCCTCCCCCCACCTTGGGTTGAACCTTGCCATTCATATAGACCTCTCATACCAGCCTCAAATCTCATACAAGTTTTCCATGTCTACTGTGTGCACACAACACCCCCTCCCTCCCCCACCTTGGGTTGAACCTTGCCATTCATATAGACCTCTCATACCAGCCTCAAATCTCATACAAGTTTTCCATGTCTACTGTGTGCACACAACCCCCCCCTCCCCCCCCCCACCTTGGGTTGAACCTTGCCATTCATATAGTCCACTCATACCAGCCTCAAATCTCATCCAAGTTTTCCATGTCTACTGTGTGCACCCAACCCCCCCCTCCCTCCCCCCACCTTGGGTTGAACCTTGCCATTCATATAGACCACTCATACCAGCCTCAAATCTCATACAAGTTTTCCATGTCTACTGTGTGCACACAACCCCCCCTCCCTCCCCCCACCAACCCGCGCACATCCCAGCTAATAACTCAGTGGTGTCTTGCAATCAGTTTTAACTTTAACCTAACCCTAACCTTCTGACTACTCAGGTATTTATTGTTATGGCTTTAACGGAGACCAACCCTCTAACTATTCAGTGGTGTCTTCCAGTCAACTTTAACTTTCACCTAGACCAAACCTCTAATTTCTTAATGGTGTCTCTCACTCAGTTTCAGCTTTAACCTAGACCAACCCTCCTTCATTTATCATTTATTATTATAGACACTTTAGAAATTCTGGCGGACTTCTTCCTGGCTTCTTCTTCATTTATAGCTTTTGCCTCAGCTTTCTTCACCTTGCGTCTAGAACAAGAAAAAAGAGTAAAGTATAGAAGTCAGTGAAAATCTATTTTCATGCTCAAAAGTAAAAAAATATAAAAATAGTATTAACACAGTCCTGTTTACCCTCAACTCCTAAAATCGTACAATATCGTCTCAAAATCGTGCAATACAGTATCTTAATAGTAAATAAATAAATATACAGTATATATAATGTATACAGCAACTACTGGTATAGCGTGTTCAGTGGCATTCAGATCAGCGGTTTGTCAAAAAAATGGAACTGAAGGTAATCTGTATTCGACTGACGTCAACTGCAAACTGCGGTCACTTCATTTTGAAGACCTGCATCTGCTATAGATACCTCCATGTGTGTGACCTACATGTTTGTGACCTACATAAACGATATATTTATTTTTATCCCACCCTTAATTTTATTTGTGTATTCCCTATTTTGAAGTGTAGGCCTACTTGTAAGAATTTCATCCAGGAAACCCTGGCGAAAACCTAATATGGCATATGCGCCGGGAAACAAAATTATAAGAACCACTGGCGTAGCCCAACGAAATATGCGTCACACGCGCGCTGAACCCTCTTGACTAAACACAACTGTAACTTCTCTCCCAATGCTAGCGAGTTTATTGTTGACAATACATCTTGACAACATCACCGCAATAATTCCTACAAAACATTGGGTGGTATCGTACAGCATTCGAGATATAAATAGAATGCTATTTTTGGACTTTCAGAGTTAGGGGATGAATATTGTAGATTTTTTAAATAACGTACGTTCTTTCTGCCGAGGAACAGCAGTCCGACTTGCAGATTGTGTAATTGTGCAGTGCGCGCATGATGGACCATTCGACAAAGAACGCAACCCAGTCAATTTTGTCTGATATTCAAGCAAGACTATCTGCTAATAAACTTTCTTTTTCTGTTGTTGAATCGGATGTTTATCGGTAGAAAGAGAAGTTTCTTCTTCATCACCCATTCCGCGAGCCTTTCTTTTTGTCGAGGTCATATCGTCAAATACTAAGTGATGTCAACTACGGAACCGAAA